CCTAACCAGGAGACTAGGTCACATAGGCCCCGTTAGGCTCCCTGGATGGGGACCTCGGGATGATGGTCACCGATGGTTAGCTACACTGAGTGATATGGCTGGGTGTCGCAAACAGTGGCGTTCGTGCATCCACTCATTATTTTCCTAACACCACTCTATATGTATTCCCCATTTGCTTGAATTTGCCTCGACATTCCAATCTTTATTTCGCTCTTTTATCCAAATGGGCAACCCAAACCGACGCACGAAAGTGCATGGTTAATGTTTGTAACAACTGAACTGAACTGAACTATCTAACGATAATTTCGATGTAGTTCGAGCTGGGCGTGTGGATGGAAACTAGTGAGTTGAGACAGGTTTACGGTATGCGTACATGACAATTCATTGGTTTAGGATTCACACCACGTATTCTCATCTGGTGGTTTTCAAACAATATCCGATCCGGCTTCTATTGGTGCTGACTGATACCACACATCCATTTTCATTTTTTTTTACTTTCTTTTATTGAATAAACAATAATATTGTTTTCAGGATGGAGGAAACGGTCAATCAAAGGGCTGCCATACAACACGTAATGGGGAAAATCAGGCAGTGGAGGATGTGGTGCCGGTGGAATTCGAACACATGTCTCCCTTCGAGGTGTTAACTTGGTGACGTTACCATCGAGCCACCACCGTCCTTCATTAAAACTAACAAAATAATTTCATACCACGATATGAATGTTGGTTTATGGTTCAGTTGAGTGCATTTGCAGAGGACAGAGGAGAAAACATGTACCCAAAACGAAATTAGTAGTAGAAAGTGCCGAAACCAGTGCATGGGGTAGAAAAAGGGAGAAAAACGATCCTATCACGAGTGAGAGATGACCTTGGTCAAGAAGACCACAGTGCTACGCGATTCACTAACACACGAACAGGATAAGCGGCTATGCTATTTCGGTAAATAGTGGTGCGTGCGTGAAAAGAGAAGCCGAAATTGGGAACCGGTACGGGGTTGAGATGAACATTCAAAATGCACATATAGTGGTCTACATTGAATGCGACATTGTTGGTAAATCGATCACATGCACAGAAATGTTTGCATACAACAAACATACAACAAAAAACGAAACAATCAGGACAGTCTCCACTACAGTGAAAAAGAAGTTTAATGGGTCTCGAAAACGAGGACAAAGTGTTTTACTTTTAGGAAAAATACTGAGAAACAGTACGACCAAAGTGGGAGAAGGTAGGGGAGGGATAAACAAGGAGCAACAAATACAACTTTCAAGGGACAGAATGTTTCACAGACCAGTAGGATAATGTTCGATCTCGGTGCGATTCGAATCGGCATTCAACGATGCCGTTTATGCGATCGATGCCAAATTAGTTGTGGCCAGTAATTGGACTAGTTAGTGGGAAGAATCACACAAACTAAACGAAAACTTAGACCTACAAAGAGAGAGAGAGAGAGCAAACCTTTCAAAAACTATGCAGCATCTGCTACTCAACCCTTATAACAAAGTGAACGGAACTGTGTGTATGGAAGCTTTGCCATCCTACTACACGGTCACTGAAAAATAAGCTACCGCTTGTTGCAACCCACGAGCAGTCAGAAACTGGTAACGATGGCAGGCATCATCCAAAGAGCATATATATTAACGACAGTCTGAATGCACACCGGACAAAAGTGGAGGACATCCGCACAGTACCGAGACTAGCCTCAGTTTCTTTCAACCTCAAATTTGGAGCTGATAACAACTTTGACTTCGCAGGAACCGAGTGACGTGCACAGCACTGGAGTCACTGCTTGGTTTGTTCACTGGTGAATTACGACCGAGTTGGACACAGGTTCGGAGTACATGTCAGATACGGGCACTCAGCAAGCATGATACGCTCACTGGTTTATTTCAATTCAACCTCTACATTTTTCACTTTGTTTTTGTCACGTGATATTGATCCGAACCAATCACATGGAGTCTATCCAGCGTTTAACTGCTGTTTTCATTCAGATCTTACTTGTTTCATAATTCATAACCTTTGGTGTTTTCATTGTGGAAAACTGGGACATGGTTTGGTGGCCCGACGGTAAAGGTTACCAACTGATCACCCCGGGGGATGTGTTCGAATCCCAGGCCATCGCCTAACTTTCCACATTCTGTGGGTTGTATGGCTACCCTTTGTGATTGGTCGCTTCCACCGCTTCCGGAAAACTGTATCATTGTTTACTCAATAATAGGAAGTAAGGATAAAAAAGTAAAAGATTGAAACAAAAACAGCAAACAAAAACAACAAAACATAGGAACTGGAAACAGACACATACCGATCGAATCCAGGTACGTCGTTCGAATTGAATAGTACACAAATACAGGTAAGCAGAGTGATCAGACCGCGTACCGCTACTTCCGTCTCGTCCTCATTCACGACTGTGGCCACCTCGGCGATCAGTACGGACAAATTGGCCCCGCGTGCGACAGATCCCGTGGACGCGGACTGGGATGCGACCCCGTTCACGGGCTCATTTGACGGGGCACTGAGAAATCGACGTACTGCTGCAGGACAATGTGCCAACCAAGTGCACAATAGTTGTAGAATACCAATGCGTGTTTGTGGTCGATTTGCCTGTATAGGTGAGGAAAGGGAGTGACTTACTTACTTGTTATTTTCAATAACTGAATAAATGAAAGGAATGAAACGCCGGTGAAACGTAGAAAAAATGAAACTATTTCATTAAAACTGATTCAGATGTATTCTATGGGGCATGAATCGAGAATGTATGCACGCCACGCCACTCAGTAGTAGTTCCGATATACACCTGTACGTCTCGCTTGCAATCTGTTCATGTGTGACCTGGTACCGACAGCACAAATACGCCATTCTGAATCTCACAGGACGCTTTATGTTACAGCATCTAACTATCTTGTGTGTGTTGCATTTCATCCAACAAAATGCTTGGATTCTTGATTTCCCGATATTGGTAGATCATGATCGAGAACTACTCCTTCTGATTCATTCGATGTCTCAATGGCTATGTCTGGTTTTATGTGAAAACCCTTGGTCGGCCGCACCTTATTGTGGAAACTGATTCTGCAAGTGTTTTACGCTTAATCGACAAAGGGTATAATCCACGAGCAAACTAATGATGCGACACATCATAGTGTGATGAACCCTGTGTTTGATCATGACAACCAATAGCCTAAATCCTAACTCTCTCTCTCTCGCGCGCGCGTGTGTGTGTGTGATAGTGAACTACAGAAAATCCCATTGAGATAAACATCATATTGAGCGGGGGGAGGGACGGACATCGCAGCTGTCTACCACACAAGTTGTTGGATGGCCGTAGTGGATGGTATACCGTCCAGCTAGCACTGATGAGAAACATGAAGAATACATACCGCTCCGTGTGAACACTAGTGGGCACTTGAAAAGCTGGCCACATGAATTGCGATCATCTTGTATTCGTAGTTGAACCGAAACTTCTCTAAAGCAGGGTAACCGACGCAAAACGTCCCACCCTTTGCACCGAAAACGCGTCGCAGAAAGGTGAGTATTCGCCTCATTTATCACCCAGTAGCGAAACAATTTGATCACGCTGTCTGCAGTGAAAGCAAAATCCTTTCACAATCCACAACTCTCTTCTCCACTTTCAACAAATCAATTGGGGTGACTTGCTTTAACGGATTCGAAACGAGGGTCTCCTGGATTGAGATGCTTTGGCAGTTGATAGAAAAAAGTCACAGTTTGAAAACGGCAATTTGTGGGACCAAGCGATTTGAATCTGGAGGACAACGTGAAAAATCGATCACGGGTGGCGTCTGGCGAGAGGGCGGGAGGGGGGGGGGGAACTGGCGATTCATGTGTCTCTCAGTCACGAGATATTTTGTTTCCAGATCGAATCCGCTCACAGGGAGTGCGAGTGAACGCAGTGGGCGAGAGAGAGGATTCGATAAAATTCGAATCAAATTGAATTTGACGTCAACAAACGAGGTGATCCGGAGTAATTCATTTAAAATTCGAGACTGATGCCTCTCTGACCTGACTATTTCATTGATCTTTGTTGAATTGATGTAGCATGCGTGTCCAATAGCAGATAAAAGAGATTATCTGAGATGTAAACCGACTGAATACAATTATTGAATTGTGATTTAACCAAATGCTTTCGATTTTATATTTCAGGAAAACTCTTTTCGTTTACTTTTCTAGGCCCTAGTTTCACAGACCGTGAACCCAACCGGGTATTGATCAGTTCGCGATTGTGGTTGAACAAGGCACCATTTCTGCATTATCCCAGGAAGTCTTTGTATGACCGCGGCCTCTTTCCTGAAAGTTGACTATATTTTTATATTTCGAAATATGCCCATAGTCGCATTAAGAATACAATTTCAGGCGAACAATTGTTCTCAATAACTCATAATCATGCCGTTACAGTTTCTATGAGGGGAAAATCCTAGGGATTAGAAGGAGAACAATGTAAGGAATCGTTCACTTCGTGTATGTGTGTCTGTGTGTGTGTTACACACCGCATTCTCAGATCTGTTCTTCCGGGGTTTGCAGTTATGTCACGACGGTCGTGTGACCCAGTTCTGATAGATCGGTGTTTTTGTGTGAATGCGGTGTGCAACACACACAAATACAGACACATACACGAGGTGAACGATTCCTTACATTTTACTGTTCTCCTCCCAACCCCTAGGATTTCTATATTCAATAAATGAATGAACGGAAACTACTCTTATAATCATAGTGCTGCCATATCACACATACGCACTCAACCGGGGTTGGTGACAAAACATTTACAAACAAGTTCACAAGCTTACCGAATAAGTTGAAAATAAAAACAGAATCTTCGTTTTATTATCCCTATTTCGCTTTGAATCAAGCTATCTAAATTGTCAATGATAATATTTTATTGTAGCCTACTAAAAACGCGATGTGGTTGATCACGTGACACTGGTGTTGTGACTTTATGTAATAATCTTGTTACTAGAAAGTAATTCTTTCAGATGTACAACTATAAGCCTGATTCGGAAGTGTAAGCCACATTTTATGTTTTATTCAGTTTGAAGTTTTCTTCTAATGATAAATTACACAAAATTTCGCTGCTTATTTTGTCTTTTGTGTGTATCCGCAGATTCTTCCAGTCAACCTATAGTACAAAAAAATAAATAAAAACGTCTTACAGAGTAATCTCCGCATTGTTCACAGCGAACAGGTCAAATCGATCTCATTGCCATCGGTTATCGCTTGTGTGGATCTATCTCATTGTCTGCGGACACAAATCATGACATCCTCTATATCAGTTCAGTGAGCAACTAAATCAAACGCGCAGAGAGCCGATGCCTGAGGTTCACCGTCAGCGATGTCCGAAAATATGTCTCCGAAGCGGGGCTCTCTCGTTACGGTTAATTGTCAAAGAGAGTAATGGATAGTCCAGACTATCAACGGATTACAGCAATACGCAACAACAAATTGTGAAAATTTCCCCGCGATACTGCCTTATTGGACGTTTGCAGATCAACTCATCTTTTGAATAACAAATGAGGCAACTTGCCTATCGTTAAACGCCAGCTCATCAAGAGTCTGAGGGACGATTAAGAGAAGTGGTGGATCACAAATGTTAGGGAGAATAGTCGAAATCGCGGGCTAAATTTGTGGTTCTAGTTCATTTGAATTTACCACGGAAATCGATCTCTGTCTCACCTATGCTTTTCTTTACAATTTTGTTATTATTAAAGTTTACTTCAATTACTTCATTCACGTGCAGGGATGGGATAGCAGTATCGATTTGTTTTCGTACCATACACAATAGACTGCACTGCTAAGTGAAGACCCGCACATTTGGATGGTTTAAATGCTAGTATAGATGGCATACTGGGCAGTCGATTTCCATTGTTAAATTGATAAATGCCGTTATTGGGCAGTCAATCTCCTTCTGCTATGGGAAGCGAGAGAGTATATTGATAACTATCAATAATAATAATAATCATAATAATACCACTGGCTTCAGAATCAGCATAGTACCAGTGTGATAATGGCAAAAATGAAAGGATGGAAAAGAGGGCATACTTGGCGAAGTCGAACAGGGAGAGGTAAAATCGTATGCTCCCTTGAAATGCAGATCACCAACGAAAAAATAGACAGACGTGTAAGCCTACTCATGAGTAGTGTAGTTATGTTCCCAACCATCCCTGGCTAACACACGGCTGAATTCGCTGAATTCAGTGTAGTCCACCGAATGACAAAAAAACCCGATCCGGACGAAAGTTGGTGTGATAGTCGAATCAAACCAGACGTTGACCTTTACATTATCATTTTTTGGACTTGGTGCACAAACCTTTCAATTGCAGTTTACAACAAATAATAATACATTTCTGAGTTTCCGTTGCTGTCTATTGAATACACATTTTGTTTGGGTTAATTAAACAAAGAGAGAGAGAGTAGTCTGGCAGTGTGACTATAGAATCCGGGCAAGCTGTAAATGCAGAATTTGAGCGTACGCACCGAGGCCACATTGTCCAGTGTCTTCTTTAGCCACCGAATAGGTTGGTTATTTATAGAGACCTGTGAGCGGAAAGCCCAAAGTAACCTTCTTGATCAAGTTCCAGATCGGGGTTTTCATACCCCCTATGCCCGACTAGGAAAGTCAAGCAATTGCATTAATGTGTTTTTTACCTAACCGCAGCACTGTTTGTCTGATTACCCCCCGGGCCAGACTGATACGATGCTACGCAAGTGGCGATATTGGAAGACTCCGCGCGACATCCTAGACGCGAATCGGATAACTTGTCACCAGATAAAGTGCTGAGAAACAGGCTTATACACAGGACCAGTACACATTAAAAAAAAATGATCTCCTAAATTGCCCGGGGTGTAAACAACGTTAGGCACAGTAGCAGCACTCTCAATTGGAAGCCCGCTAAGAAACCCCGTGTGTGAGGGAGTCGATCAGTGGAAATCGTCAGTACCATTGCACATATGTGTGTACATCCAACAGAAAGGGAAGTAAAAAGTGTATTACAATCAGGGTGGGAGTCAGTAGACGAACGGAGGGACATACTTGAACAAGCCATTGGAAGCACTGTTGCAGTAGACTGACTGGAGTCCCGTCCGGATTTGAAGCCAACAGGACACGCAACAATTCCTCCTTCAATCTCGGATTATCTCGAATGCAATGAAGCAAGGCGATCGAGGAGAACCAAGTGGACAGCACATCGTTCGAGAAAAGACCACCGCATAACAACTGTCCGTCTGTGATCGATTCAGAGCCTGTATGCGGGGGTGGGGGGGGGAGGCGGAGGAGGGAAGTGGAATTAAGCGAAGCTGATGCAGGTTTTGTGTGAGATGCTTGGCTCGTGTATGTGTGTGTGTGTGTGCACCAGGATGTCCCACGTGAACGAATACACAATACAATGCAAGACAACCGAAAGTGGGCCGAGTCTAGGTGTGGGCTGAACCCGTTCACGGACAGGAGGTTCTCCGTGGAGAGGGTAAACTGAGAGAGGAAAATGCAGACACCATGAGCCAGTGGTCCCGTGATACATGAGTACGACCCACACTCAAACGGAATGATAAGTTGCCAAGGTCGTTACATTTATTCAAAGGAGTAGTCTCAGATCGAATTCGAGTATGAAATAAAGTGTCGTGCGTGCTGCAGAAAAAAGGGAAACATAGACTGAAAAGCTGGAAGGCATTGTGCATTTGTGGAATATCAACCACATTGCAAGTCGCCTGTACTTCCTTTTGTTTAGGTAGGGAGAGGTGAAATCAAAAAAGCGTATGCTGGTTGGCGATTGTGATGGACTTTCAGGTACATAACTGCTTTCCGGAAATTGCCCTGGGAGAACCGACCGATCACAGCGGCCCAAGGTATGTAACAATGAAATGACGTAATATGACAGATAGATAGAGAGGGGGATAATCGTACACGTGTTTCAAGGTCAAATGACCTTTTTAATCCCAAAAGAAACGTGTATCTTGAAGGAGAAAATGGGTTAGAACAATCGACCGGAAAAAAGAACGAAACGGGAAATAGCAAGCTGCACAATGTGTAAGTGTATGCACGCACAGCAATCTGACACGAATGGGCATCGAGATATGTCCGGAATCGAGTTCAAAATTGGTTCGGGTGAGGCATAACGGCAATATAGGGGTAGATTTGCTAGCTCAGCTGTTGAATACTCTGCTGGTTATGGTAGCTTTTGATAGCGCACCAACCGGAAATCCATTACGAACTGCGATGACCACGCACACAGAGAAATGAAATGAAATGTAGACAAAAACGAAAGCGTTCGAATACAAGAAAACTCCTTACTTCTGATGGGGGATGAATTCAACTCTAGAGACCTTAGTCACACGGAGATCTAGCCACCTGAAACGCATTCAGACAGTCTGATTCGAATATTGGCTTGGTGCCATAAACAACTGAAGATCTATAGGCCAGTATTCCGCAATGGACCTCATCGTAGTTACCACGGATGTGAGTGGGTGTTTGCTATGTGATTCAATGAAGTTGAAAGGTCGTGTGTATTAGGCCACCGTTCGTTCAGTCCTGCTTTATAGTTCAGACCTTGAATTTGCGACTAGAGAATATCCGTCGACTAGAAGTTTTCGATTACCGGAGTTTACGCAGTTTGGCCCACGGTGGATGGAGCGAACGAGTTAGTAACGTGGAGGTAGGCCGTCGTGTGTTTGGGAATCTGTCAGATGACGTGGAGACGAGGCATGAAGAAATGCACAGAGCCATTAGGTAGAGTAAGTGACTCTCACCTTCCAGGTTTGGGTCCGAAAGACTCCACAACTGGTTGGTTGGAGTAATTGAAGGAAATGGCAGCGAACCGGCAGCAGTGGCATTCTTGTTGTCCCTTCTTATCAGGTCAGAATGCTTGAAACGGTATGTATGCAGAGTTCGATTGCGTACTCTGTGTTGACCATAGTAGCTCACCTTCTCCCTCCCTCCCTCAAAATAGATCCAATCCCTGTCCACCTTAAATTTTACCACTAACCTAGTACGCATTGCGAGTTTGGCAGCGATCAGTGAAGTTCGATTCACTGTACTTCGCTGTACGATGATGATAACACCAAACAAAAAAAACAGGAACAATAAGACCGAACTACCAAATTGACACAATCCCGAAGTACCGACTGTGAAACCTTATTGATCACCTTTAATCGTGCATCGTCACCAGGCTGAGCGTCTAATTTGTACCACTCAACGCTTTCTACACGTGTCCTCCTCCTCCTTTGAAATGTGAAAGCGTAATTATCAAAAAGATTCGTGTATCTTGCACAGACAAAGATCACGTCTCAAGGGGACCGTAAAACCGGAAGGGACCAAAGGCATCCGTAGCCAGGTGTCGAGCATCAAACTAGTTTAGTGTGGACATTGGATGACTGAGATTAGTTAGTCGCTAAGTGAAGTTATCGTCACAAATCCGTGGTGCGCCCTTCAATCACCAATTCTTTGCTGATAACGAAACACTAGGTCGATCGGGAAAAATTTCTAGTGATCCGCATTTGTGACAATGCCAGCATGCGAAATCCTCCGAAAGCTTCATTATGGTCGGAAGTGGGTGTCTTGGATTGTGGCTGGTCATCTCTCTCCCTCCCTCTCTCTCTCTCTCTCTCGCTCTTTTACGACCAAACGTCTCAAATAGCCTGCGCTGAGGGAGCCCTACTCACTGCCTTCTCGTGAAGCGGAGAGAGGAGGACGAAAAGCCAATATCCGGGGCTATAACTGAGGTAGTGAACTACGGGGGAAGTCGACTAAAAAACCTGATTCCAAAACAACCAAGAAGAGGCGTATGAACTACACACACATCTTCCTGGTCATGGTAGTTGTCATTGGCTCCATTGGGCATCGAGGTGTATTGGGTACCTTGGATGTTGTAACCCGACCAACTGGTGTAGGATCCGATGAACGAGGCACCAGCCCCCAATGGATTAGAGTTTTCACACACCGACCCGCTGCGTCTCGCGATAGGCTTTGGTTAGCCGAAGGATTCGATTGTGAGCTCCCTAAGAAAACTCACTTGCTTCGGACAGGGCAACCTAGCAGTATGGCACCCCTGAGCAAATCATGTAAAGATTAGTGTTCCGCGATTTTCTTTGGTCTGAACAGTCTGAACTCCGGGGTGTATGAAGATAAAAATAAAAAATATAATGATAAAAGATTACCACAGCGATCGATATCAACCGGGAGAAATCAATAAAAAAAGGCTTGCTTCTTACATCGGCTTTGTTTTGGTGGTCGTTTTCCCCTTTCATTGAGACTATCTTACCATATTGAAAGCCCCCTGACAAAAATACCCTATTAAATGATCTCACGCGGTGGAGCTGCTTCCCCATCAACGTGAGAGGAAATAGCAGCTGCATCAGGGAATAGTCAAAGACTGTTCCAACTGATACGCAACAATGGAGGTCGGCGAACCACAGTTAGTGAAACAATCCGCGTCAAAAGTGGGCAAGCCATTCACAATAGGGAATAGCAGTTTGACCGCTAACCAGGCTATCTCCTCTGATGCAGCTGAGGCTCTGCGGGCAGTGTCATCCGAACCTCCTACTGCAGTCGAAGTTCGTTCTTGCATCCAAGCCCTGTAGAAGGGAAAAGCACCAGGATCGGATGGGCTTCCCCCCCCCCCACTCTTTTNCATCCTGGAGCGAATTACTGATCGTTCCAAATTTTAAGAAGGGATCTCGCAATGACTGCGCAAACCATCGTGAAATAAGCTTGATCCCAATCGTCACCAAGTTACTAGCCTCCATTATACTTCGACGTCTGACACCGTTTAGGGAGACAAACAGCCGCGAACAACAAGCTGGATTTCAACCAGGTCGTGGTTGTATCGATCAAATCTTCACCCTGCGTCAAGTTCTCGAGCTACGCCATACGCACCGTCGATTAACGGTTGTCGTGTTCTTTGACCTAAAAAGAGCCTTTGACTCAGTTGATCATGAATCCATTATGGATTTGCTTCTTCGCAAAGGAATGTCGCAGAAGTATGTGAACATACTGAGTTCACTCTACTCACATACTTCTGGTAGCGTAAGGGTATACGGCGAGCTAAGCAGGTCATTCGCAACTAGGAGCGGTGTTTGCCAAGGATGCCCTCTTTCGCCATTCCTGTTCAATTTCGTCATAGACGAAATACTGGGGAACGCATCAAGTGGTCTCCGAAATGTAGGTATTGAATGGGCAGCTGGAGAAAAGCTGTGCGATTTGGAGTACGCTGACGACACTGTTTGCTAGTTTGAATGTATGGAGGATGCACAAAGAGCACTTGACAGACTATCAAGCACTGTTGCTCCGTTCGGCATGCGCTTTGCGCCTTGAAAGTGCACAGTGATGCTACAAGACTGGGTGTCGCCGAGTTCTGTTCTGAAACTAGACGGTCAGGAATTAGCTGAAGTTGACTGCTTCTCGTATTTAGGTAGCTGCGTGACCAACAACGGCACCTCATCAAAGGAGATAACCGCCCGCATTTCCAAGGCTCGAGTAGCTTGCGCACGACTTAAACACCTGTGGTTTGTCACTCAATTTGAAGAGTCGCGTCTACTGCGCCACTGTACGATCAGTTCTACTTTACGATTGTGAGGCCTTAAATTTACGGGTAGAAGACACACGTCGTTTAGCAGTGTTCGACAATTGATGCTTACGTAGTCTGGCCCAAGTGGAATGGAGTGAACAGGTTAGAAGTCGTCGGGTGTTTGTGAATACATCAAACAAGAACTCGCTATCGCATCGAATCCAGCTCAATAGGCTTCGTT